AGTAATAGAAATCCAACAGACCCAACAGCCATGACATGCATGCTGCTGATTCTGTGTAATTGAATCACTAATTGAAAGGGGCATGTTCAAAATAATAGCAGTGTGGAGTTCTATTAGTGAGGTCATTCACTCTTTGAAAAACAGGTGGCAATTATTGCCCTTATTTAAGGAAGGAAGGCAGCAAATGTTGTACATGCTGGTTACAGTGCATTTCTCTCTGAAATTCCAAGGAAAATGGGTTGTTCCAGACATTTTTCAGAAGAATAGCGTACCTTGATTAAAAAGTTGATTGGAAAGGGGAAAACATATAAAGTGCAGAAAATGATAGGCTGCTCAGCTAAAATGATCGCAAATGCTTTAAAATGGCAACCAAAACGTGAAAGAGGTGGAAGAAAGCGAAAAACTACCATTCAAATGGATAGAAGAATAGCCAAAATGGCAAGGACTCAGCCAACAATCAGCTCCAGGAAGATCAAAGAAGGTCTAAAGTTACCTGTAAGTACTGTTATAATTAGAAGACGCCTATGTGAAGCCAAGCTATCTGCAAGAAGCCCCCACAAAGTCCCACTGTTAAAAAAAAAGACATGTGCTGAAGAGGGTACAATTTGCCAAAGAGCACACTGACTGGCCTAAAGAGAAATGACGCAACATTTTGTGGACTGATGAAAGTAAGATTGTTCTTTTTGGGTCTAGTGGCCGGAGACAGTTTGTCAGACGACCCCCAAACACTGAATTCAAGCCACAGTACACTGTGAAGACTGTGAAGCATGGTTGCGCAAGCATCATGATATGGGGATGTTTCTCATACTACGGTGTTGGGCCTATTTATCGCATACCTGGGATCATGGATCAGTTTGAATACATCAGAATACTTGAAGAGGTCATGCTGCCTTATGCTGGAGAGGAAATGCCCTTGAAATGGGTGTTCCAACAAGACAACGACCCCAAACACACCAGTAAACGTGCAACATCTTGGTTCCAGACCAACAAGATTGACGTTATGGAGTGGCCAGCCAAATTCCCGGATCTTAATCCACTAGAAAACTTGTGGGGTGACATCACAAATGCAGTTTCTGAGGCAAAACCAAGAAATAGAGAAGAACTGTGGAATGTAGTCCAATCATCCTGGGCTGGAATACCTGTTCACAGGTGCCAGAAGTTGGTTGACTCCATGCAACACAGATGTACAGCAGTTCTCAGAAACAGTGCTTATACAACTAAATATTAATTAAGTGATTCAAAGGAAAGCAAAATCTTCAAACATTTTTCAATTTATATAGTGAATATGTGAGTTTGTAAAGAAGAATACAAACACTGCTATTTTTGTGAACAGTCTAATATTCACTTTTCTTCAATTTTTTTAGAAGAACAACACAAGTTTGATACAGTTTTCTTCATGTTTTGATTTGGAATAGAATGTGTAGTGTTCCCAATGCATTTGTGTGTATGGAAATAAAAGCTATTAGAAGGATTTTGAGCTTTATTCACTTTTTTCAACACACTGCTATTATTTTGAACACAACTGTATGTCTCAAGTGTTTTTCACTATATAGGGGCAGCTGTCAACTCACACAGCTGACATATTGCAGGCATTTATTTTTATTCCATTTTTACTTTTAGATTTCATGATTGGGTACACAGATACATAGGCACCACAATATTTATTCATTATTAAAATTGCACATGCTTTGGTCTATTAGGCCCCAGATCTCTCCTTTGCCCTGAAAAGCATCTGGTCAATTGAGATCGGTTTCATTAGATGCTTTCACAGGCTGGTTATGGCCTGTTTACACCAGGGGTGTCAAATTGGTGGCGCTCCAGTGGTTGTGACGCTTGTAACTGTCAATCTTGCAATGCCTCATGGGAGTTTGGCAACAGCTGGAGGACCGCCAGCTTGACACCTGTGCATTAGACCAAAACAGGAAGTGAAACAAATACACGTTGCTTCTGGTTTCATAGAGATGATTGGGGATATTAGGGTCCTCCGGCATTAAGCCGGCAAAACCCATCCTGGGCTTCCCAGTGGGACAGGAGAGCATGGGAAGGTAGTGCGAGGGTCCCCTTCTGCCGCATGTAAAAGAAATCTAGCAGCTTTTTAGCTGCTCAGTTTGCGTTGACATTTTTCAGCATCACCAGCTGAAAAAAAAAACAATACCAGGGTTAGTCATGGCCCTGCTATACCAGCTTCAACCAAAGGTTATATGGGTACCTTCTTTTGGGGGGTTAGAAAAAAAAACAAAACTCTACCTTAAAATATACTGACCGTGAACTTTGGCCCTTACCTTGACTAACACTAACCCTAGCACTAATCCCCCCTTAATCTCTTCTTCTCAAGAGAATAAATTCAGTTCAGTGAATCTTCCTCAAAGCTGACCTCCTCCATGCCTCTTATCAGTTTGGTTGCCCTTCTCTGCACTTTCTCCAGTTCCCCAATATCCTTTGTGTGAACCGGTGCCCAAAACTGAACTGAATATTCAACATGAGGTCTTACCATTGATTTGAACAGGGGTAAATTGAGGGCTCTCTCTCTGCAGTCCATACCTTTTTATTACAAGAAAGGACTTTGCTCACTTTAGAAACTGCAGCTTGGCCTTGTATGCCATTATTAAAGTGTTCCTAAACCCAAGATGCTGCATTCACTATATCTGGTCTCCCACAGTACACAGAACATGGAAGTGCAATTATTTTTAGTAAATATAAACTGATAAATACCTTTTTTCATCAGCAGTTAGAGCAGTCTTGTAACTTCTATCAGTGTCCAGCACTGGTTAAAACTTGTAGTTTTCTTTCTGCTCTAAGAGGATGCAGGACCCCTGACCTCTGTCTGGACAGTGCCAGTTGGCCCTGTGCTGTTCACATGCACTCTCCCAAGAGAAAAAAAAAAAACCTCTCTAGCAATACACACCAAACTGAGCATGTGCAGAGTGACTCCACATGATATGTCTTATCAGAAGATAAGAGGGGGACACTGGAAGAAGGTGATGATCAGAGAAGTGAGGATCAAACATTGTTTTTAAACAATGCAGAGGATAAACCCCTTAATTTCCACAGTGAGAATAACAAGCATGCTTTACTACATATACAGACTGATTTTACTGTTGTGGATTTAGTAACACTTTAAAGCTTATGATCTACCAGAACACCCAGAACATTCACCACTGATTCCCTAGTTGTTCTCCCCCTAGTATGTATGATGCATGCATATTTTTACCCCCCCCCCCCCCCCCCAAGTGCAGAACCTTACATTTATCAACATTAAACCTCATTTGCCACACAGTTGCCCAATTAAACCGTGCATTGAGATCGGCTTGTAAGTTGGAGACATCCTGTAAGCACTTGATGCCACTGCACAGCTTGGTGTCATCTGCAACCACTGAAATGATACTTTTAATCCCAGAAACTAGAACATTTATAAATATGTTGATAAGTAAGGGTCCCATAACTGAACCTTGGGGTACACTAATAATAACCCTAGACCATTCAGAGTATCACTCATTCATCACTGGATACAGTCTTTTACACAGTTTTCTATCCATTTACAATCTGAAAACAGTCTGCAGCCCACAGCAAAGAGAGTCTTTTTACGGGGCTGGGTGGACAGTTTACAAAGAATGCAAAAGGTAGGCCCTAGCTCAGTGGTTCTCAACCTTCCTAATGCCGCGACCCTTTAATACAGTTCCTCATGTTGTGGTGACCCCCAATCATAAAGTTATTTTCATTGCTAGTTCATAACTGTCGGGGGGGGGGGAATAGTGCCCCATCGTTGGTGTCAGTGGGGGGGTGGAATAGTGCCCCACCGTTGGTGTCAGTGGGGGGAGGGATAGTGACCCATCGTTGGTGTCAGTGGGGGGAGGGATAGTGACCCATCGTTGGTGTCAGTGGGGGGAGGGACAGTGACCCATCGTTGGTGTCAGTGGGGGGAGGGACAGTGACCCATCGTTGGTGTCAGTGGGGGGAGGGACAGTGACCCATCGTTGGTGTCAGTGGGGGGAGGGACAGTGACCCATCGTTGGTGTCAGTGGGGGGAGGGATAGTGACCCATCATTGGTGTCAGTGGGGGGAGGGATAGTGACCCATCGTTGGTGTCAGTGGGGGGAGGGATGGTGACCCATCATTGGTGTCAGTGGGGGGAGGAATAGTGCCCCAATGTTGGTGTCAGTGGGGGGGGGGGGGAAATAGTGCCCCATCATTGGTGTCAGTGGGAGGAATAGTGCCCCATCATTGGTATTAGTGACACCAATGATGGGGCATTATTCCTCCCACTGACACCAATGATACTTACCTTGCTGACCCATGCTCTAGCCTGGGCTCGCTCCCTCCCTCTCCCATCTACAGCCAGCATACCTGGCTGCAGCAGCACCATCTGCATGGTACAGACACTTACCTGTCAGCTGTCTTCCTTCTCCGGCTGCTCTCCTCCTCTTCACTCGTTCCGGCAGCTCCCTCGCTCAATCTTCTTTGATCTTTGCGCTGCCGCTCAGCTCCTCCTCTTCAAGCTCCACCTTCTCGCCAGTGATTGGCAGCCTGTGTGCCTCTCCTGAGCAACAGTTCCAGCGGCCAATCACCGGCGAGGAGGCGGAGCTGGTGAGTGATCCCGGGGGTGTGGCCAGATGACAGGGGCGGCATGTCATCCCGCCCACACATCGTGGCCCAGGGAAATGAAGACACCGGACCCGCTGACCGGACAACCTTTCTACCCATCCTCCAGCAGCGTGTGTTTTCTGATGGTCTTAGGCGACCCCTGTGAAAGGGTCGCGACCCACAGGTTGAGAACCGCTGACCTAGCTCTTTTTCTAATCAGCTACACTCTATCCTCATTTTTACTATGTGTTATAGCTTTTCTGTGTTTAAAATACAAATGTTGATATTTTAGTACAATAGTATTTGTAGAGCACAAAGGGTAGTAAATTGCTCCCCTGAAAAAAAAAAGAAAAAAAAGAAACCACATACAACGCTATAAAAACCATAAATATTTTATTTATAGCAAAGTTGTTACTATTTCATGGCTGAGAACTACTTGCTTCTGCTGCTATATTAGAGTTTCTTTCTTCATAAATTGCTGAAACCAGTTGAACAACACCGGGGTGTTTAAATTTTCCTGAAAAAAAAAAATCAAATAAGAAAAACCGTGAACCGTTTCCATTATACACATAGAACTACAACCAGTATGGTACATTTGATCATTACTGAAACAATACGTAGAACTTCATTACAAACTGCAAAATGTGCAGTATTTCACCTGCCGAAGGGCTTGCAATTTCTTTCAGCTAGTCTCATGATTCACAAGCATCTGCCACACTGCATATCAAAAGGCAACAACACTGTGATTTTCTATTTTACCTAAAAAGCTTGTTGTGTCACCTGTCTGCTCTCTGGACAAAAATGAGCATTATCGCAGTCCTGAATTATTGTTCAGTGAGGGAGAGGAGATACAAGAAACTGCAAAGCTAATATGAAAAAAAAGGAGTGCCAATTGTCTGGCTGTGCAGTGTGTCAGAGGTACATGTGAACAAGATGCATGTGAATAAGCACAGTCTGGATGTACAAATCGATTGCACATGAAAAGGCCTGTGTGCAGTAACAAAGTACACGCTGCAAGGTATCTGTGCTGAAATTTCCACAGCATTATACGAGACAAAGTAAATCAATACCTGATGTTGAATCATAGAAGTCTTGCAGCGTCCCTGGTCTCTTCTCTAGCTCTTCATACTCTAAAGCTTGTAGGATCATTTCACATTGGTCCAATTCTTTCACAAACCTTGCTTCTGCACTGGACTGGAACTCATACTCCTATGTAGAAAATGTACATATTTTTAGTTTTTCTTATGTTAAATGGTAGCTGCCTCTCATCATATAAAAGAAACCATGACCTTCCTACAAATTGCCAGGCTATGACGTCTGGATTTTCTTAATAGAAAGTGCCGGATCTGCATAATTGTTCATGGTCAGTGTCCCTGAATCCATTGCATTAGCATGACAGCAAATAGCCTTTTCAGAATGAGAGGTCATCAATGGCAATCTCCATTCTCTCAGGACAGGTTTCCTTTAATTAAAATATAAACTGTGCATACCGCCACTCCACACCCACAGTTTGAGAATAAAGGTTTTAATATGACTGGCTGCGATGGAACAACACAGTCTATTTCAGATATGTCAATAAGAAGAATGCCATGCTCCATTTTAATCCATAGATTGTACTTGGATACACTGACAGTTTAGCACAAAACTTTTCATATCGAGTCTAGGTCAAATGTGTAACAGTGTGAGCCTACATCAAACATCCCGACTGATCTGCTATTTAAATCATTCTCCAGCAAGGCTCAGCAATATGGGTCCCTGTGATAAAAACACTTAACGTAGAAAAAAAAAAAAAAAATCTGGCCTCATTTTAAATCCAACTACATGGTATTTTGTATGAGGTTAGAAAAAAAAAATGCAAGACAGTAAAAGTTCTTGTATTTATTTCTTTATACATCGAGTGGGACTAAACTTCAATGCTTGTGTCACTTCGGTATTCAAATTCCACTTTCAAAAGGACCCCTAGAACAAAATAGTTTTCCTGTGATCTGTAATGGTCTCGCCAATAAACAAACCTTTCTTTGCCTGAGAGGGACAATTTTACCAGTCAGTTACATGACTTGTACATCAAATGGTCAAAAACATCATACAGTATATGCAATGTAGACCTCTTACTTACACTATATTGCCCAAAGTATTGGGACACCCTCCAAATCATTGGATTCAGGTGTTCCAATCAGCTCCATGGCCACAGGTATATAAAATTAAGCACATAGGCATGCAGACTGCTTCTACAAACATTTGTGAAAGAATGGGTCTCTCTCAGGATCTCAGTGAATTCAAGCGTGGTACCATGATAGGTTGCCACCTGTGCAATAAGTCCATCTGTGAAATCTCCTTGCTACTAAATATTCCACAGGCAACTATTAGTGGTAATATAACAAAGTGGAAGCAACTGGGAACAACAGCAACTCAACCACGAAGAGGTGGTTTTCTCATCCGACATCAGTGCCTGACCTCACAAATTCGCTTCTAGAAAAATGGTCAAACATTCCCATAGACACTCTCCTAAACCTTGAGGACAGCCTTTCCAGAAAAGTTGAAGCTGTTATAGCTGAAAAGGGTGGGCCAACTCAATATTGAACCCTATGGACTAAGACTGGAATGCCATTAAAATTCATGTGCGTGTAAAGCAGTGTTTCTCAACTCCAGTCCTCATGGACCCCCAACAGGTCATGTTTTCAGGATTTCCCTCAGATGAAACAGCTGTGGTAATTACTAAGGCAGTGAAAACTGATCAAATCACCTGTGCAAAATAATGGAAATCCTGAAAACATGACCTGTTGGGGGTCCATGAGGACTGGAGTTGAGAAACACTGGTGTAAAGGCAGGTGTCCCAATACTTTCGGAAATATAGTGTATATGCTGTGAATAATGCCAGAAACAATGATAGCATCCAGAGGCATCCCTGTGAATTCATTAATGAAATATCCCCGAGCTTCGCACGTAAACTGCTTCTTTCATGAGGACTTGTAAGTGTATTATAGCCGAGAGACTAGTACAGACTAGAGCTAAGACAGCAATTCCAAACTGGAATCCCTTGTGGCCTTTTCATTGCACTCCTATAGTATGGGGCACAAGACAGGCGTGAATAAACTAATAGTGATTTCTTTTCTAAAGTGTATTGACACCCAATAACAAATCTTTAATTTTAATATATTACAACATACCAGTACTTAGATGTGGTTGGTGCATTAATTTCCTTATTTTATTTGCACCTTAAAATCCAGTCACTAATACATCCTGTTATAGGGTGACAGTGTGACAACACTCACTTACTGTACTGTGTTTATGGAGGAGCAGTGTTGTCACCCTGAGCAGGAAGTATGTTAAAAATGTTAAACATGCATGGTCTGTGTGTTTGCCTTTAACCACTTGAGCTCTGAAATGTTTTATCCCCTTCATGACTAAGACCACTGCGCTACTTTACCTGACAATTGCGCAGTCATGCAACACTGCACCCAAATTAAATTTATATAATTTATATTTATTTCACACAAATAGAACTTTCTTTTTGTGGTATTTGATTTGATAGGTATTTGAAAAATTGACCAATCCTGCAATATACTTCATTACAGGTTAAGTGATGTGACAAAAAGTGCAAGGATATATTTTTAGCTAAACTTCAGCTTTAACCCTTTCGCTGCCAGGGCTTTTTTTTTTTTTGCAATGTTAAAATGCAAAAAAATGGCTCTGGCAGCAACCCTGGAGATTAAACATTAAAAAATTAAAGATAAGACATGTATAAATACCAAACACGTCAAGCCCTAAAATTGTATGCTTGTGAAATGGCGACAAACAGCAATACATTTTAGTAATCAGATTTTGTTTTGGCTCCAAAAATGATTCTAAAAGGTTGTAATTAAAAAAAATAAACAAACAGGTTATACTTACCTGCTCTGTGCAATGGTTTCGCACAGAGCAGCCCTGATCCTCTTCTTTTTGTGTCCCCCCACGGTAGTACTGGCTCCACCCTACTGCCGAGTGCCCCCAATAGTAAGTCTCTTGCCATAGGGGCACTCAAGCAGGCTTGTTCCTGTGAATGGACATTCCAGTTTCCATTCAAACACAGAGCACGGCTCATCTCACCCCCCCCCCCAATGAGGAGAGAAAAACCAGGGAGAGCCACTGCACTCATGCACATCGCTGGATTGAAATGGGGCTCAAGAAAGTATAAGGGAGGGCTGGGGGGGTCACCTTTTTTACCTTCATGTAAAAAAAACATTCTGCCTTGAGAATCACTTGAATACAATAGGAATAACAAAGACAAAAATACTCTACCTCTATCCTTTAGGACTTGGGTTTCACCAACTATGCCATTAAAGCCAGCAACAGAGAAGCAGGATGGAATAAGGGGTGTTAGGCTATTAGGTCTGGTCTGTTTGGGAAAAGCCAAGGCTTGTCCAGCAGATGTCTGCGTATGTCTATGTACAATGTTCTTCTAGGCTAATTTGGTTTGATGAGACTCATTGGAACCCTTTCTTTGTCTATCTTGCACAGCGGCCCGAGGGAGGATCAGTATCCGAAGGAAGGCATAAACCAGCTTGAAATGAGTCCAAAAAAATCACCACAGCATCTACTGCAAAGGCTATAGAATGCAAGGTTTATGTAGGAAACTGCTGTGTGCATTGTCTGACTGTACCCTAACTGGGTGACCTTGCAGAAGGGAAATAGTGTTATAGAGACAATATGATTGCTCTCAGTTTCAGGATGTAGATGGGTAAATTTTGACTCCTGAAGGTACTAGGTCCCCTTGACAGTCTGGGAGTTGTAAAATCTTCCCAACCTGTAAGACTGACATCTGCTGTCACCACCTTCCAGTGCATGTAAAAGAAAGACTTTCCCAAGTCTAGAGTGGGACTGGAGATCCACCAAGTCAGAGAGAGCTTTGTCTGGCTAGACAGAAGCATTGTGCAATCCAAGAACTGAATTTGCTTGTTCCACGCGGTGATTATTTTGGGTTGATGAGATCTTGAAAGAAACTGGGCAGAGTGAACTGTCGTAAAGGATCCCAGAACCCTCATGCAGAAGCGAACCATTTGGGAATTTAGGGAAGCATCCCTCCCTTGGGGAAGGGAAATTCAACCTTAGATGGTGTGAGGGCTTGAGAGCAGATTTGGACAGCCAATTATCCAGTCAAAGGTTTGAAGAAACTGAACCATTCTTTGGATATAGGCAAACAAGGTTATGGTCAGGAAGTCCTTCAATAGGAGCTTATCCAGGTAACATATGACATGAAAGCCCTGGGTGCATAAAGAGACAGAAGCGGGCAAACACTTTTGTGAACACTTGGGATACAGAAGAAACCCAAATTGGAAGTGTTGGTCTCCCACACTCCCAAATGATGTGAGGGGAACCATGGGAATGTGTAGAAAGGCAGCTCATATGTCTGCTGATGTTAGACATTCCACTGGACAGTGAATATGTTTGAACAGAATCCTTGAAATCATTCTTGTAAAGGAACTGGTGCAACCAATCCTTGTGTCTGAACGTGCAAGGTGGTAATTAAATTTGCTTACTTTTGGTATGAAGTGCATTATGGCATAAAACTGCTGGGGGCCCATTAACAAAAAACATTATTTAATCGGTGTTTAACTCCACGTTAAAGAAGATAAAGAAATAAAAGATCAATGGGCAGGATCATTAGGTAATATACTTATGTTACAGGAATGAGTTAGAAAAATAAATCTATTGTATTAATGGTAGCTACAAATATGCACATTTTTGATTTTGCCTATAGCTCTACTTTAAAGAAAAAACTGACACCAACAGTTTCCCTTTATAGAAAATTATAGTCTATTTTGGGTTTGAGGTGTTGCAAACATCAGTTGATGTTTAAAAAACTGTAAAAAGCCTTGAAGATTTGGTAATACCTACCGACAAAGAAAAAGGTTCCGCTCATGTTTCTCCCTTTGGTTAATATATGGCAAAAAGAAGTGCAGAAATTACCCGGGACTGCTTTTTTAAACTGGGGAAGATTTTTTTCCATGAAACAAATGGTGATATATCATATCTGACTGTTTGGAAACAGGACTTTAAACGTCATGTTTCACTGCATTCAGTCCAGCATATGACACCACATGCTGTTTAGCTGGGAAAACATCATGCATTAGTTCACACATAACTAAAAGAAAATGTTTTATATTAAGTGAAAAGAAGAATGCAAAGACTGTCATCACATTTTCACTGCTTGTCAAATTACCCCTCGTCAG